GTATGCACAGAAAATTTAAATATAAATCAAAAAAGTTTCAATTGACACAAGAGTCTTTCTCTTCAACTTGATTGGTTTTAATCACATTGGATCTGGAACACCACGTTGTATAAAAATATAACCTTTTCTCCCTCTGGCTACTAATAAAATAACTTCTTGGTAAGATATTCCTTTATTAATAATAACAATGACAATTATTTTATTTATTTTGGGTCTTTGCTCCAGAATATGCTGGTAGAATGGGCACAAAGTTTTTCAAAAGCCAATAAGGCATCTCATTGTTTAATAAGCTTTTCTGCAAATATACTCCTTTCAGCAGCAGAACAAATAAAGCAACAATGAGGAACTGTATGTTTATTTTCTTTGATCTTTAGGGATTAGCATGTTTAGGTACACTGAAGAATTTCTCTTGATTTTTTTCCTTGTCCACAAAGAATGGGAAAAATATTACCTCACTTCTGTCTTATAGAATTTGAGATATTATTTAGAAGGAACAGTGTTACAGAGGTTCATCATTTTGAACTTAACTGCAATGCTTTCAGCTATTCCGGTTATAATTTCTGACAGCAGAAAATCTATGGTCCTTTTATTTTATTTTTGGTTTTGCCAAGCTCAACTTACTCTCACACTTGTTCCTCTAGTGACTCTGCTTTAAACTGCCTTTATGTGTGAATGCCTCATTACTATCCAAGACCCAAGCTTCAATCTGGCATCTTTTGGGACAGATCAGTTAGCTGTTTGGAGCCCTCAAGAGTTCTGAAAGCCATGGAAAAGCCAGATATTGGGATGCCCAAGCAACAGTTTCTTCTGAAAGTAAAAATCAAGTACTCAATGTCTGGAAGTACAAAGGAAGAGTTTCTGTGGGCAGCCTGCTCTAACATCTACTCATAAACATCTGGTGTTTACCACCAAGGCAGAAAGAATTACAGATCAGATGGAATATAGGGTCTGATCTATGTCTACTCCTGAATGACATGCCCTGAGCCATCAACAGAAAAGAGGTCAGACCCACACAAGTGAACACCATATTCAGAGAAGCATGTTTACATCCACTGCTTTTGAATCTATCTACATTCAACATTTTCCAGCGGGATGTATCTACCTGTGTATGACATTATGCTGATCCTTCATTTCCACTTTTTATAAAGTTATATTTCATTACAAAAGAAGCAGCTAAATCAAACACTGTGAATGTAGATAGTGACAACCTTAACGAAGAAGTAGAGATATCTAAAATTTTTCTTCCCCCAAAAGCACATGACATGTAAAGTTATAAGACTATCAGGCTTAAGGGACATTGCCTGTCAATAGAATAGTCATACTACAGACAGCTGGTTGGAAATCTGGGAAACTTCATCATCAAATACTGATAAAATTAATAAAAAATTTAACATCCTATAATAATGGGCTATGACATCAATCTCAGGACTACCACTACAAATTTGAAAGAAACTCTTACAGTGAACGCAAATTAAAGTTATAAAGAAAAGCAAGGTTCCAAATCAAGACCTTAGTGTTTTGTCACCAAGACCTCACAGCCAAAATTTCAATGTCTTAATTATCAAAAGCTAGAATCTGTACCATGGTAATAAAACTTTCACATTTTTGGTGTTATCAAGAAGGCATATACTAAAAAGGAGTTATTTTTTCTTCAGGTGACTTTAAGGATCCACACTTGACACTGAATAAACTTACATTTCTGATGAATTCTCCTGCAGCAAAACCTTAAGGATCCTTATGGTGCCTGAATTCAGTTTAAAAGCTTTTTTCAGTCACTCAGACTATGTTTCTAGAAATCACACTTAACTACCATGGATTTGGTAATTAGTAGACAGGTAAAGCATTTAGGTAGCATTATTTATTTCTAATACAATTTCGTGTTTTCTTTAAGGTTTATTTCTTCCTGTTGTTGTTGTTGTTTGGCCTTTCTTTTGTTAATTTTTTGTATTATTGCATTTTATTATTCCTCCTTATTTTATTGTTTGTTTGTTTGTATCCCTATGTACAAGAGTCAGCAGGCAGAATCTGATACACAGGAAGTTCCACCTGAATTTGAGGAAGAACATCTTTATTGTGCAGGTGACTGAGCAGTGGAACATATTGCCCAGAGAGGTTGTGGAGACTCCCTCACTGGACATATTCAAGAACTGTCTGGATGCACTACTGAGCAATGTGCTCTAGGATGACACTTCTTGAGCAGGGAAGTTGGACCAGGTGAACCTAGTGATGGTCCCTTCCAACCTTAACCATTCTGTGATTCTGTACCTAAATTCTTGAAAATCCTTCTCTATTCATGTCTTATTGTTTGCTAATGACCTAAAATCCACATATAGCACTGTGCTTAAGTATCTGATGTTACACTGGCATTATTATCTACATACCTCTCCCCACTGATCTAAACTCATGTATGTATACTCTATCTGTAATTCCTAGACCCGTCAGGAAATGCAGGAGGCCAAGGAGGGAGGATTTGTCTTGATCTCTGTATCAGACTACATAGATTTTATGGATATGACTAAACAGGTTTGACTCAAAAGTTGCCATCTCTTATTCTTGTTGGCCTTGCACCTTCTTGTTCCTGCTCCCATTTGCAAACTCTGTCCTGTACCAAGACATTTCAGGCTGACTTACTCTTGATTTCTTTTCACAAAACTATTCACATAGTGGGCTATAAAGCAGATGCTCTCAAATCAGTAACTTTTTGGTATACATGTCTGAAGCAGAAGACTGGGAGCAGATTAAAGAAATGGAATCTTACATGTGAGCGCTAGTGAAGATCAAGCCAGTGGTGGATAAAGTGGCTGAGGAGCCAAAGGGGATGGGATCATGTGTCTCTAAATGTGAGATTATGGGGAAACTAACTAGAGATCAGGGAAATCTTGGCCAGCTTTAGGGGTTGTGCATGTGAGTATGATCATGAGTGAGAGGTATGTAATAGTAATTGGAGTGGGATTATGGCCTTGAGTCTTCTATGTTCATTTTGAGAGCAAAAGGGGAGTCTGGTATCCATGGCCACTGCTGGGCAGATCAGGTATCTGATCATGGCTGCTGGAAGGATCCATGTTGTCATTGCATGTATTTATAGCCTTACTATGCATCTCCACCTTGCTCAGCTAGATGGGGGAGCAGGATGAGGCCATTGGTTCTGCCTGTGTTCATGTGAATACTCTGTGTGTCTTGTCTGTCTCTATCAACCTGTATGGATGGCCATGTATATTTGTGTGTATGTGTTCCTGTATGCATGTGCCTACTGGGAATTCTTGCTCAGCCTCACTGCTGATTGGACCTGGGACATGGAGCTCCATCAGTTTCACTTCACTCAGCTTGTCAGTGCTGACACAGCATATTTTCCCCTAACAGGTACTAGGCTAGAGAATACATAAGAAAATCCATGGATGATTCACAGATGAGACCAGTGTTTTAGAGGTCTCAGATTCTGCAGAGTGTAAGTACAAGGAATAAATTACACACTGCTGATTTAGTTTATTTGCTCTCACTGAAATATTTGAAACTGAGTCCCCCATCCACCAGCTTTTCTGTTTGCCATCAATGTACAGAATATGGAACTTCAGCTGCAAGGCAGAACATTTATACTTGTTCTTTAAACCTTATGCTGATTTTTGAATCATGATTATGGAGAGAGAGAACATGCTGAAAAGCAGTAGCATTTGGCTGAACTTCACTGAAATACCCTGGAAAAGGACAGACTGCCAGCAGGCAAATGCTGAGTGAATTCTTTGATCATAAAACCTATCTGGTGCCAGACAATCCTTTTGATAATATATGAGCCATGAAGAAACAAAGCATTAAGAACAACACAGCACCCAACCAGGTTGCAGGGGAGGATTCAAGATTAACTTTTGTTTTCTCCTCAGGTAACACATCTCATAATGTCATCCATGGAAGCTCAGTGTAGCATGAATAGAAAAGAACTCTCCTGACACGGCTTTCTGACTGTTTTAGCCTGTAAAGTTTTCTTATAACTTTGAGTCTTCTTCCAGGGAGCTCTTACTGACCCTGGACTGTCCCTATCTTGAATTTTCGTTCTTAAACCAAATCATCAGAGCAGAAAGCTCACAGACTTTACATTGCCAAAAGTATTCACAGTCACATTCAGTACCTGTGGGAAGAGAAAGAAAAACTTTGCGAATTTCAAAGGATGGAGTGTTTTAAGCACAGGTAAAAGGAACACTAACCTTCTTAGTGACAATTTGTCTATCAGACTGCCTTTCTTTTATGGTAGCTCAGTGCTGATAGCTGGGTTGGGCTGTCTGGAAATGGTTTAGTGTGCCCTGTCTTGTTTTTTTTAAAAAGAACTTGAAACAAATTTGAATGATTCAGAGCTTGCAACTGTCTCCAAGAATTGTTCTCATACTTCAAAATAATACAGAAAATGTTGGAGGCAAAAATATTTTTAATATTCTTAGAAGAACAAACAGAAGAGTCATAATGTAAAAAGTAACAATGTTCTTTTGCCAGACAAGGACTACTCTGTAGTACCACTAAGCCAAATGGGCAGAAGACAGATTGTTAAGCACAGAGAATGACAGTCACTTAATTCAATAACTTGGTTTGCTGGCAGAACTTGATCCCTATATTTCAAAGTGACTGAAAAAATGACAATTTCAGGAGATAGGTTCTATGAAAAGATATCATAGAAATCTCTGTCTCAAAATTGCAGATATAATGCTGAAAAAATAAACCTCTTTTCAGAAGTTATGGTTAAGTGGACAAAAAATTTCAGAAATAACAACAACTGTATTTAATGTCTGCGTTAAGTAGATGATGATGCAGAACTTGGCGTAAAGATCATGAAGAGAATTTGTGGGAGTTTAACCCCCCAAAAAATCCAGCTTTCAAGCTTCTCCACAATTTGCCTCAATGTACGAGAGAGAAGGTTTCAGACAGGTACAACTCAGCATGGAGGAATTGTATCAAAATTTATTACTAACACAATAAATACTAAAGAAACTAAAAAGCGAACAAACACACAGTAATACAATCTCTACCACCCCTAGGGGTCTTCCCACATCAGTTCAGAAGAAAAACCCTCCAGGGCGATAGTTAAAGTCTCTCTCTCATTGGGGTATCAGGGAAGGGGTTTTTTGCTCCCCCACCAGCTCCTTGACTTCTGCTGAGGTCTTCTCCTGGGCTACAAGGGAACACTTGTTTTACCAGGTCTTCATCACAAGGTCCAGAGAGTCAGCTTTGAGTCTTTTCTCCCTGGTTCGTGAAGGTTCCTCCCAGAGAGTAAGATGCTCAGTTTTCCTCTCCAGGTTGCAGGATTTCTGGGTCTTGCTCATTTTTTATACCCCAAATAGTTTTCACCAAAAGTCCTTACCCAGAAAAAGCCTGCTCAGTTTGGCTTCTCTCTTTTACAGTTGCTGCAGCTTCTCAGCTTCCACATGTCACGGGTAGGCATTTGTCCCCTCCTGCATTCCTCCTTTAGTTTTTGGCTGCCCCCACCCAAACCTCGCGTAGAGCCTCCTCCAAGCCCTTCGGCCTGTCTCTCCGTTGCTCAGCCTCAGTTCAAGGTCATTACCTCTCCCCCGCCATTATAGGAGAATAGAGGGTAGCAGCAAGACTGCTTTGGTCTTTCTCCTCTACCTCAAGGTCTTCCAGCTCTGCACGATTGCAGTTGTTTCTCCGGTTCCAGACCACCCCTTGGCCCGTCTCTGGCTCAGCTCCAAATGCCGTACCTGCCTACTGGGGGCTAGCTCCAACTCCCTGGATGGCCTCTTAAATCCATGTCACTGCCTCTCCTAAGCAGTGGTGGGGGGAAGGCACCCTAGCCTTAACCACAGCACTTGGTTCAGTTTTAATACTGTCCTGGGCTCCACGCAGTCCAGCCATCGGGGGAAAGAGGGCATGGCCCCCTCAAGGGACCCACAGGCCTCTCTTCTCTCACCTCATGGCTCCGAATCTCTCTCTCTCTCACACTGCCAACAACTTCCTTCTGGCTGTTGTAATACCCTAATTTCACAGTGGTGAAAAACAGCTCCAATTGGCCCCTCACCGGAAACTCATCTGGGACCAAGAACTTCCAGCCCCCCCTCCGGGAGGGCAACTCAAACCACCACAGTATGTTATAAGCTAGAAGTATGAGACCTAAAAATTAAAAGGTTAAGGTAGAGATATAGCAAACTAAATGCAATAAGCTATATTACAGTCTAATATACACATTATTATGTAACTATTTTAGAGATAATACTTTTTCTAAAGGGCTCTAATCATAAAATGAAAAATTCTACTATATTCCAAGATACAAAGAGTGTAAGTAGGAAGTCAGCAAGCACCAGTATGTTGTCTCTAACAAGCTGAATTTTTTGTTGAAGAAAACTTGTTTTATCTTCAGAGAATTATCTTGCAAAGAGGACGATAAACATTTGTTGCAACAGTGAAAGACTGAAATGGTCCCTTTAACTGATGTCATGACAGTTCTAATGGAAGAGTTTAACTTTTTGAACGATTTTATATAGCAATTTTTCAAGGACAAGTTTTGTCAACAGAAGTCAAATTTTTCATGAAAATACTGCTTCATTCAATATATCAATCAGACGAAAGCTTGCAGCTAGGCTGAAAAAAATTCAGGAGGCTGAAAGTTTAAGACAAAATAAAATATTAGAGCTTAAAAAAAGTTAATAATGCAGACAGAGACAGGTGATAACACCAATTCAAGCCATTCAAGTTCAATTAAGGAATCTATTTTATATACCTTTTTTAAAATTATTGTTTTGCAATGCCCAATATTCAATCCAGATCTTGCAAGAAAGACTGCTGTTTGATTTAAAGTATAGGGAAATGTTTGTAGGTCCACCAAACGCAAGCAAAATATATGTCCATGAGATGTTTTGGGCTATAGTTCCAATTTCAGCTACGATCAACTGATTACTGAGCTTCATCTTCTTCAAGCTAACTGTCATATTACAGAAAGATCACTTAATTCCATTCAGAAATATCTCTGTTTATTCACCCAAACTGAATGTTAGCTTTTTTTTTTGAATCCATAAAATTGATAGAAATTTTTTTAAAGGTACTGGCAGCATATGCTGTAAGAGAAAGTATTTCAGTGCTCTCTGCCATATTAAAATGTAGCTTTGATCCACTGTGAGAATCCTGACTTCCATGGTATGTAATTTTATTCTTACAAAGTATTGTACTAGCCTGGTCATTACAGATGTTGTAAAAGGGCTCACTTTTCAGCAAAAAGAGGTGAAAATTGCTTTTTGGAATTTGACTGCAGTTGTAAAAAATTTTTTGTACTTATTTTAAGAATCACAGTCTTACTACATTTTATTGTTTTGTTTTCATTTTGTTTTGTAATGTGACCACATTTTGAAGTGAAATAAACTACTTTTCATCCCAGAATTTAGGTTTTTAATTTATTAGTGCAGCTGCTACTCTGGTGTGGGGGAACTGAAAATAATGGAAGACTGCAGGAGAAAAGTCAATGAAAAATCTTTTGAGATTGCAGTCATTGCTATTTGAAAATTACACTTTGTGTCTCAAAATACACTGGTCCCTGGTGGAATCTACATATTTTAATTAGCAATCTCTTTTCATCAATCCAGCCTAAATCTACACTGACCTGAATTTAAGGGGTACATCTCACACAATACCTCTGGGAGAGTGGATGACAAATATCATTGCAAACTCTATTTTTCTAATTATTTGTAATAACTGTATTAAAGACTGACCAACCATCCAAGCAAATAAAAACAAACAATAAAGCAACACTATAGAGAAAAAAATTTTGTTCCTTATTTACATATTATCAAGTCTCTTAAGACCAAACAGGGTAACCTGAAAAAAATCAATATTGAAGTCATAGGGCAATCTTACCTTCAGGTAAATAGACCATGTAAATAAAAAAGAGAAGGAGAAAAAAGGATAAGGTGAAAGTAATTCCATTGCTGAGAGGGTTTCTCTACTGTTCTTTCCCTTCTCTCTTCCAAGTCTTGATATTTAACATTCTGGTGCCAAAATACCCAATTACAAATAGGAACCTGTCCAATAAGCAAACCACAGTTACAGGGAGTTCTGTTACCAATGTCATAGTTATATAGAACTTTGTGATTGCTTTAAAGACTACGATGTGTTAGCTTACCCACTAATTACAAAGTGCTCACCTGAGGTCTGGAGAAAAGTCACCAGTTACAATCTGTGCGGGGTAATTGAAGATTATCAGAATTACAGACTCGCTTTGGAGAAAGAAGGGACTTAAACTGTTTTGTACTCTTCAGTTTTGCAAACATAAAATAATAAATAATAATAAAATAAAAGTGAATATGATAGATGACTCTGGAATCATAAGAAGTCATGGATACAATGAATAAGAATGAATATTCCCTATTTTCCATAGTGTAAAAACAATGAAATGCCAAACTTAATACATAGGGTTATAGTGTGGAAAGGGGAATAAAGTGGGGACAGAATTAGTTTTACGTATACATGAAAAAGGGAAAAATTTTGAACAATTTTTTCTAGAGCAATATTTGGATTGTTTCTCATTTTGTATTAAGATTTCAAAATGTTCTGTCATCTTTTAAATATTAGATTCAATAAAACCTTACATATATAAAGTAGTTTTTCTGTAGCTATGTCACATTTCTCTGTAGAAGTTGACTCTGTTATGGAAGTCTTAGACAACTGTGAAGAGCACACACAGAGAGAAAAATATTCAGTCAATTCACCTTGATTAAGGTACAACATTTAGATTGAAATTCACAGTGTTCAACCCCCCACGATATGAGAGCATTTGGTGTTGTTTGTATCTGTTTATGTAGGTGAAAATCTGTTTATACAACAGAATTATGAACAGTGTGAGACTGTTTACATGTAAGGTTGTGTTTTGGAATCATTTCTACTCAAGAGCTGAATAAAGTAGAAGAGCAATATATTATGAATCTTTGGTAAGCAGTTAATGCAGCTGCTTATTCTATAATGAGAAAAAAAAAATGCCAGATAAGCTCTATTTAAAGTTTTTTACTTGAGGAGGTCAATATATTATTCTGTACTTTCATAGAGTGATGATCCAACAAAATTTCAGCAATCTTGGCATAAATTATATTATACAAAATTCACATAAATTACTATTAATATATTTGCTGAGTTACTTGCAATTTGTCAAAAGTTATTTCCACTTAGACTTTAAATACTGTGCAAAAGAGATCTGATGAAAGCAGTCATTTAGTCTCTATATGAGAGTGAGTAAATGTCAATTACCTTTTCTTTCTACAGCTGCATAATCAGAGATTTTCTGTTAAAAGAATGTTTCCTTTTCAACCTCTCCTTGTTGCTCATATGAATGAAACAATTATTTTTCATTTTTCATTGAAACATAGTCCTATACATTATTTTTACGAATTTTATGATGTTAAAAATTATGCAGTAAATTCCTCTGAAAATCCTTGAATTGAATACTAAATTATGCAATAATTCTGCAAGCAGGAAAGAAAATCTACATGTGTTATTGAGTCATGATAAGTACATGAGAAACAGAGAAAGAGCTATTAAAGGTACTAGATATTTAGAGGGGAAGAAGGTAAGAAAAGGAATATAAAAGTAGAAAAGAAGAAATTAGAGTAAAAGTATTCATACATAACTTACAGAAAAGACTAAGATGTGCTCTTTGGTAATTCTAGATATGCATTTAAGATGTTACAGAACAGAATTAATCAACCTTGCCTTCATGAATACAGAATCCCTCTTAGTAAAATGTTTAGTACTACTCTTATATTGGTTTATATAAAATGCAAGAGTATTAATGTTCCCTAGCTACCTATTCTTACTATTGGACTTGGTTTGATAGTCTGAACAAAAGTGGCTATAAATCAAATTCTGTTGATTCAGTGCCACTGGTCTCACCAACCTTTTCAGATCTGCATAATGGAAGTGAAAAGGTGAGATGCACATGATTTTGTTCTGAAATGCACTACTGTCATGGTGGCTTATTCTATCTTCTCTTTCTTTTTCCTTGTCCAATATAAACAAGAATATTGGCTGCATTAAATGGAAGCTTTTGCTATCTCTTTGAATAATGTTGACCATCAAGTATTACACATAAAATCTAATTAGCGGGTTGATTTCATTCACTATCTCTGGAAAAAATGTTTCATTACTATGCTAATAGAAATAGCTCCTGTTTCTACACTGTCCTGATAGACTGTAATATGAAACCACTAAAAGTCAAATTCCTTCCTAATTTATAGCCTGTGCTATAAAGAGCTGGCTAAAGGTTAAAAGGCCTGTGTTATCCAAGTCTCTGAAGTTATACCACAGAATTTAGCTATTGATGGCTCTATAGTAGTTTAAAACTCAGTTCTCTACATTAGCATAAACTGATTTATAGTGTATTAAACCCAGTTTTATACGTTAGATTTTGGAAAACAAATATTACAGGTGACTGATAAATAAAGTGACATATATATTTTTAAAACCTTAATGATTACTAAGAATTAGTGCAGATGAGCCAGCACAATTTGCATAAAATCATGACATTGTTCTGTTTAGGCTGTATCTTACATCAAGAAATTGTTTGGTGTGGTGCCAGGAAAACAAGATATCATTTGTCTTTCATATACAGAATGAGTAAAAACGTGCCATGAAAAACCATCAGGTTGCATATGCAGATTTCACAGTCACACATATTACAATCCCAAGAGCTAAAGGCACAATCTGTATTTGATTTTGCCGTCTCACTAGTGTGAGCCCTTCAGTAATAATCTTTCCAGTTAGCAAAACTTGTTTTTCTTCAGCTATCATCAACCGGCCCAGCTGTCAACCATAAAATTTCTGTTAATATATGCTGTTTTAATACCCCAGGACTAGGTACTTTTTTGGGGTGCAAAGTTTTTTGAAATTTAGCCCAAATGACCAGTAAATAGATCAGTATTATTGAGTGAAATAAAAACTTTTTTTAACCTAGAGTTCAAATATCTTTCTCATATTGCTTAATTTAAAAAATTCTTTTAGACAGGTTTGAAGTATGATTATTTAGTACAGGGAAATTAGAATCGCTGTTCAAGAAATATACAATACAAACCTAGCACACTTAACTGCATTCATTCCTGTGCAATCCTGTGATCGACTCGTTACATTTAAGTTGAGCTGTTTCATTTCCCTTGAGGTCTTCTCCCCAGGGATCCTACTTCCCAAGCCTTTTTCTCAGAGCTATGCCTGTATTTTGAAAAGAAATCTGCTGGGATAAGAGCTGAGAAAAGGAAATCCAAGACAGGGGATCAGAAAGTGTTAGTATGTAGAACAGAATATAAATGGGACCAAAAGAGGACAAATAAAATAGTTGGATGAAAGAACACTAAAAAGCACACAGCTTTAGGCCAAGAAAGAAATTTCTTCACCAACACCAAATCCTAAGGCTGATTATAGGATCCAAATATAAGCAGTACTGCTCTTGGAATGGAAACGTTCATTTATTAAAATCTGAATATTCATGATTTATTTTATTCTTTAGTATTTGAATTTTCATACCATGTGCAAGTGGAACCAACTTTCACCTGTTACTTTCATCTAAGACGAGCAGCATTTTATTTTCTGTGAAATGAAAGATGTTATTTTTTGAAGTTATAAAAATGAAATACTCTAAAACTAGTTGTTCAATGAAACACATAAACCTACCAACCAAGAGCCTTGATGACAATGAATTGTTTCTCTCATTTTGCAAAACTGATATGTCATATATTCCAAACACCAAACATATTGGAAACTGCAACAGAAGTGCCAAATTATTTCTTTTTCAGTATACAAGACCAAAGATTTCAGCCAGCATTCTCTATTCTGAGCTCATAATCTAATCTAATTAGATCAAACTGATCTAATCTAAAAAGCTCTTGTGTATATTTTGGGTCATCAAATATAAGAGTCCTTACTACTTGAGAAGGAATGATTTGAGCTAGACTGTTTTTATCCCATGTTCTGATAAAAAGACCTAACAGTGTTACAGTGTTAGTGTGTCTGAGTTTTAATGCGCAGCTACCATGTCAGAAGTAGTACAACTGGATGCATACACAAGCAGCTGTTGTTGTTAAAGACACTTCATCTACATATGTTTAGATGGAACTTATGCAATCTATTAACTACTAAATAGCAAATGGTAACAGAGTGGGTTTGTGAAGCTGAAATGTTGCACAGCCATTAAATAGTATGACCTGACAGTCTGTATCCCTACCATTTAACAATGAGTATCCCTACCATTCAACAACAATTAAGCTTCCTGGAATGTAACTGAAAATGACATATCCAAGGAAATTGTTATCATAGACTCATACAATTATAGGATCATAGAATAGTTTGACTTGGAAGGGACCTAGGGCACCATTTAGTTCCAACCCCCCTGCCATGAGCAGGGGTACCTTCCAGTAGACCAGCTTAATTGTGTCTTGGCAAATCCAAGTGTAAGAGAAAATTCTTGTTTGACAAATGGATCATCATTAGTCCATAAAGGGTTGAGGGGATGTCCTACCTACACTCCAGCTGCCACTGAAGAAGTGCAAGGGCCTCCAACAATCTCTGTGTTCCAGCTGCCAGTCCACTGTAGTTACCTATGGTATCCTAGAGAGCGCCAACTCTCAGGCAACTATATCATGCTACATTCTGTTTTGTCTGTCACAAGGAGAAAGTAGGACATGAAACCCAAACATCTGATTTTGACAGAGTGAACTTTGTTTGGATTGCACTAAAGAGAAAGCTGCTACCAAAAGTTTCCTAGATGAGAGCTAGACCTTCAGATTGGAGGACCTAAATTCTCCTCAAAAATACTTTTCCATCTACCCATAACAGGTAATGGAAACAATATTTTATTTGCATCAGCCCCTTGAACCCAGTGAATAGATATAATAATAAATGGCACAAAAATTTAGGCTTGTATGGAAAAGTCTGAGTGTGCAATTCTCCCTCCATCATGAAGGGCGGAGCTGTGCATGTGGGCCCTACCCCCAGGAGCATTCCCAAATCTCTCTCTGCATAGGTAAGGTGTACGAATTAGCAACTTTGCTGATCATCTCACCTCAGATAAGTCAGTCTAGTACAGATCCAATATCTACAGCGTAGTAAACCTCTCAAAAAAATGTCATATAGCAGCAATAGCAAACAGTCATCCTCTGGAAAAGAGAAGTTCTGTACAGCATTGTGTAAATGCAAAAAAATTGGTTGCATATTTTGGATTTGTTCATGGAAAATCTATTTGTTGCTGCTGTTTAATATAAAGTCTAAAAGACCAAACATTGTCTTTCTCTTCTGTACATTTTTCACTTGCTGTTTTGACTGAGACAGAAAGTGAAAAACTTCAAAGGAATTTTTGAAATATTTATAAGTTGACCAGGACTAGAAACATCAAACATATCCAAGTGAGTACTTTCCCCGGAAGAATTTCTAAACCAATTTTCTATTTTATATCTACCATTTCAGGAAGACAATTCCTGACAAGGAATTCCTTTTTATTTTATTGTCTGCCTAAGAGTAGCATCATAAACTTGGTATATACTAGAACTCCCAAATACTATTTCTTTCAGTTACAGACTTTAATAGTCTATAGATTCCAGTCCCAATCTTGAAGCACATAAATAAAAAGTTTACTGAATGACTCCCCATATTGAAATTTTTAAAAATTTATAATCTTCCATTTACATCTAGAAATGTAGTTAATACCAAAATACAGCTAATAAACACAAAAAATGTGGAAGCATTTTAAGAAATCCTAGCAAGATTTAAAGACCAAAGAGAGGTTGTCATAGGTTTACTTGTTCTAAAAAACCAGGCAGGGAATTTTTCTTTCCCCTGCATTGTTGTAAGGGGGGGAATGTTGAAAGGGGAGGGTAGTTTTTGCCTAGTGTAATTGACACACACAAAGGAACTAACCAGTAGATCCACATTCTAAGCTGACGGCCCTCTGAAGACTGTGGGGAGGGGTGATGAGGTTTTTTTTAACTCTTCTCAGAAGCGGGAGGCATTTCACTTTTACCCTAACTCAGACAAGGTGTGTGTTGGAGGGGTCTGAGGTTCACTTTATTTTTCGGCCTGGTCATCTGGCTGTTTTCTGACCCCAGTTTGCCTCCATTTTCCTGCACCCTGTCCTGCCCCAGTCTAGACCTGCTCGGACTTCATCAGAGAGGCTTGACCCACCCGTGGAAGAACCTTTCAGGAAGGAGGTTGCCCTTTCTCTCCTCTGCTCCTGTGTTAGCAGCAGCGTGTGTCCATTGATGTAAGTGGGGAAATCTTGGCCACAGCCAGCTGCAGAGAGCATGAGTTTCATGGGAAGAGCCACCCCCCTTCCCCTTCTTGGTGTGGGGGGGGAGATCTCCATTTTTGGCTTCTCCCACGCACCGGGGCCCCAGACGGTGACCACCAGAGCTCAGCAGCGCCCCCTGCTGACCAACACCGAGCAACTGCAGGCTCTGCTCCGCCAGGGATCCAAGAGTGCCCCCTGCTGGTCGTGGTTAGAATTGCACCAAGAAAAGCAGAAAGTACTGAACTGTTTCTGTTTTGTCCTTTAATAAAGGGCTGTTATATTTGTCTTCCTCCATACTTTCTCAATTGAAGCCTCTTAATTTCGGATTTACAATTGCTTAGAGGGAGGGGTTTGGTCTTCCTCGTAACTCATCCTCCTTAGCAAAACACTTCAGTCCCATTAAACTGAGACAGAGGTCCAAATAACTGTCTAAATTTTGGATGCTTATCAGGGATAAATTGTCATATTTAGAGTGGTTAATACTTCTCTAATTTCCCTTTGAGATATGTTTCCCATTGCAGTGTGAAATTGCCCACATAACCAGGATTAGGTTTAAACTTAGATACCTCAGAGATGACAGTCACCTTTCAAACAAGAGGAACCAAAACCAAGACATAGCCTTAATAAAGAGGTTATAATTTCACTGATTGTAAGACTACTGCATTAAAGATTGGTATATTGAAACATTACACCTACACAGGGCACTGCGAAAATCAGAAATGCTAAGCTGTCATTCTGTAATATGAAATTATCACCCTTGTAGATTTGACTTTTTGAAGAAGATTTTTACTCTAAAGTATATATGAGGTCAATAACATCTTGTTAGTCTCTGTCAACAAAATGGTATAAAGACATTCATTTTTATTTAAAAGGGTAGAGAAATCCCTTTGAAGACATAGATTTGATGGTTTTGATTTGTTATTCAAAGAAGCATCCAAGACATAATTTTGTGTTTTAAGCATGTCACTAATTCAACTCAATACAGGTCTAAGTATAGAGCCTATATTGCAACATTTCAGAGCTGAGAGGAGAAGTAAAAATGGTTTTATTGTAAAAGATCTGGGCCTTGGTATTCCCTAATTTTACAGATTTTACTGAGTATATTATTTTTTCCTGAATTTCTCTTTTTCTTTAAAATTCAGAGGGGGAAAGAGTAAAGACAAACTGGAAACCTCATTCTTGATGTTACTTCAAATTAGGCATGTCTGAAGAAGGGCAACAAAGCTGGTGAAGGGTCTAGAAAACATGTCTTATGAGGAATGGCTTGGGCAACTGGGGTTGTTTAGTCTGGAGAAGAGGAGGCTTGGTGGGGGGACCTCATTGCTCTCTACAACTAACTAAGAGGAGACTGTAGTGAGGTGGGGAGTCAATCTCCTCTGTCATATGTCAAGGGAAAGGATGAGAGGAAATGCCCTCAAAATGCAGAGGGGAAGTTCAGATTAGACATCAGAAAAAAAAAAAAAATCAATGGAAGAGTGATCAGGCGTTGGAATGAACTGCCCAGGGAGCTGGTGGAGTCAAATCTCTAGAAGTGTCCAAGAGGCATCTGGATATGGCACTTGGGGATATGGTTTAGGGCTGATCATGGTAGTGATCATCTTGAAGGTATCTTCCAGCCTTGATGATTCTGCAATTCAAATAGTCCAGCAACCCAGCCCTTAAGGTCCATGAGAATTGGCTGAAGGCTCAAAGGCAAAAGATGAAGACGGAAGGTGGTTTTCTGCAACTTTTGTTCACAAAATTAGGTACATTCTCACTAAAAATCTGGTTTTCAGTCTAGAATAATCAAATGATGCTTTAACTGATATCAAGATTAGCACAGTTTCAGCTGTGAAACACTAAGATTTTGAGAAGACTATGTATTGCTATCTATTACAGAATACAAATGTCTTTCTCACTTGCTTTTGATTTAGCTATAAGGCATATAAGTCAAGAATGACACATTTTCTTTTCTTAAAGAAAATATAACACTAAAACTAGTATTGGAGATGTCAAATCAACATTGCAAATGTTGGAAAAATAAGATGACTAGTCTGTGAAACTTCATTAAAAATAAATAGAGATTTTCAACTATCAATTTCCTCTTTAAAATTTTATCACTACTGTCTAAAATTCAATTTGAATTTAATTTAATTTTCAAGTTGGGGATAATTTAGTCTATTGAGAATATATCTTTGGAGCAGTACAGGTTTTCTTCAGTAATTGCGTACCTCATTTCTACTGGTTTCTAGTAAAAAGCAAAGGCAAGGAGTAAAGATAAAATACCATTGGAACTCTATCCAATGACAGGTGATGTTATAAATACTATTAAAGATTTAACAGTAGGAGGCTGATGATGGAATAGTGTCAAAAGGCTTTTTCAGCTGCCAAATAATATAGTGAAGCATTGCTGTTGTTGTAACTAGGACAGCAATAAGTCAATTGCTGTAGAAGCAAACAAGTCTTTAAAGCTTCCCATGTCCACAGGAACAACACATACTTTTCCTGTTTCAGTGAACGTCAGAAAAACACCCCACCATACTATACAAAAAAGTGACACCCACGAATATAGTCTACCTTAAGAAAAAAAAAAAAGGCACCTCAAGTGCATTCAAGTGTCTGGGAACAGAAGCCAGCAGCACTGTGAAAGCCTGCATAATGCAGTTCACGATGTAATTAATTTTTTAATTTCCTGTGGAATACACACTAGTGTCTGAAGTGGTAAAATTCAAAGAATGACTGATAAGGTCAAAGTTTTTGAAGTGCTAAAATAAAGAGCAAAATTAATTTTAAAAGTCTCTCAGTCCTACTCTTTCCTTCTGTGAAGAACCTCATACTCCCATGGAACACTCACAGAATCCTAGAACGTTGGAAGGGTTAGAAGAGACATTCAAGACCATCTAGTCCCAACCCTTCCCGCCCTCACAGGGACACTTCTCACTAGACCAGGTTGCTCAAGGCCTTATCCAACCTGGACTTTACCACTACCAGGGTTGGGGCATCCATGACCTCCCTGGGCAACCATCCTTTCTTCCTTCCTTCTTTCCCTCCTTCCTTCCTTTCTTCCTTCCTTCCTTCTTTATTTGTGTATACTTTTTCTCTATCGTGTTGTTTTGTGTTAACCCCAGCTGACAGTTAAACACCACAGAGCCCTTGGCTCACTCCCCCTGCTGGGATGGGGCAGAGAATTTAAAGGGTAAAAGTACTAAAGACCTTGGGTTGAGATAAAGAATATTTAACGGGTAAAGAAAATCGTGTGTGCAAGCAAAGCTAAACAAGGAATTAATTCACCACTTCCCATGGGCAGGCAGGTGTTCAGCCATCTCCAGAAAAGCAGGGTTCCAGGATGGGAAGTCAAATACCATCACTCCAAACATGCACCCCTTCCTCCTTCTTACCCCAGCTTTATATGTTGTGACACCATATGGTATAGAATATCTCTTTGGTCAGCTGTCCCAGCTGTGTCCCATCCCATCTTCTTTCGCACTCCCAGGCTCCTTGTGGGCGAGGTGGTACAAAGAGCAAAAAAATCCTTGACCCTGTGTAAGCCCTACACAGCAGTAATGAAAACACCCCTATATCATCAACACTCTTTTCAGCACAAACCCAAAACATGGCCCCGTACTATCCACTGTGAAGAAAATTAGCTCTACCCACCGGTACACACATGAACTCAACTATAACAAGAATACTTGTTGATGATACTTTGATTGATGGTATTCTGGTGATCCTAATATGTCCCTTCTAACTGAGGATATTTTGTGATTCTATGACACTTTTAAGTAAGTGTAGCTTCAGAATACATCAACTTTGTTAAAACAAATGTGATCTCCAAAGAAGAATAGAGCATACGAAACTGAAAGAAGTAGAGTAGAGTACTAAAATAATAAGGTAAAAGCCAAGGAAAGCCCAAATATTAATGCAAAGTTCTTAGATAAGAAATGAGTGAGTCATTTAGTTCTATTCAGAAAAGTGACAACATAAGAAAACTTCTATGGCAACATTTCCTCAAATGTTTCAGTACTGCTTACACAGAGAAATAATGATGAGAATAAACCATCATTGAATTGACCTGTCTCATTCAGTTTTGCTTTGAAAAAGTCTGATTATTTCACCAGAATCAAGACTTATTTATTTTATTGATTTATTTTGAGTCAAAGCAGTATGTGGGACAAGAACTTTGTGCTGTTATTCTTGGAAAACAAATCTTTTTGTTACTTTCACAATTTTTAAAAATAATATTAGGAATCATAAATAAGAAATTCAGGCTTTATACTCAAAGGAAAACTGGAGTACATGATTTTATGTTAGAATCTGGAACAAAAGATTAAAAAAAAAAAAAAAAGGAAGAAACTTCTTAATTGCTGCCTCCTTAAAGACTTACATGGCCTTATTAAATCTGGAACCAGTGAAGAAGAATGAAGCAGCTGTTAGGAGTCTGAACAGAAACCAAACAACCACTTAAGAGCTTTATTGTTTTCTTTTTGTTCTTAGAGATTTATTTTATTTTATCCCATGGCAGTTTATGAAAGAACAAGAGGAAAACATTTGCTTCTGGGAACGAAAACAAGTATCAAAATTGAAGCAACTAAAATGAAAACATTGTTATTGTTTTATTTCTCTAGGATACATCTTCATGCAGAACACTGAACATCTGTCAAAGAGTAAGGAGATACTGATGAGGTTCAGAGTCAGATTTTCAAATAAGTAGTTCCATGAGCCAAGGAACTTGATTTTTAACATTTCTGGTGCGCAAGAACTCTCCCTTTAGTAAAGGCATTAATAAAGTCTCTTTCCCACATCTGGCTACCTATTTTCATAAAAATCATAGGAAATTTTACAGTGTTTGAGACCAAAACTTCATTGTCAAATCAGTGGGTGGATTCAAAAGTAACTGATCTGAGAGAAGCTCTTTCATATGCAGAATTTGACCATGTATGCATTGTTACATGTGACAAAAAAACCCTCTATGTCCTTGCCTTAGCATGAAACTAAAGGACTGTAATTTGCAACCTAAGCAGTGAGACAAAACAAAGGCTTTTTGAGGGCGATCCTGGAGATCAAGCACATTCAGAAAAGCTCAGTCACAAACATAAGTTTGTCGGTCTTTCCATATTTGTTATGAGATATGCAGACTAGTTTCTGAGCCCATAGTACTGAGCCCAGCAGTGGTTTCATTAAAATACTCATATCAGGTAAAGCAAGGTTGGTATTTCAAAAGAATTGCAGCTTGCGTGATTACATCCTATGTCACTAACCTTAGAAAAGATTAAATCCTTAGGGCTGACGGATGGGCAGTTTGTGATTTCCACAGTGCTTATGATTTACAGACTAATAGAGTGACTGCTTGGAAGGCAACTGTTCTGTTTAGCTGCATTTTTTAAAGTAATAAGGGATTATATTAAAAACACAGCGTACATAGTAAGACAATTTATTTTTAACTCATATGTTAACAAACACAGTGATGCTACTTGTGAATATGAATGGCAGAGGAAGTAAGAACACAGGTAGAAGGTCTTATACTGCAAAAGAAGACATCCTGATTAAAATAACCTTCCTAATATAAATCTATATGCAGTAAATCGATCATGTTATCTAGAAAGGGTTATGAAATATTTACAAAATAAGCACTGAACATCATTTTTTCTGATTCTGCCATGTTTTTACTATATGTTGGGGCAGAAAAAGTCATATCAAGGAAGAAGAAAGCAATATGTTAGAGTCACAGCTAAGTCAATACTTTAAAAGTAGGCTAAGTTTTATCTGAGGAGCAGAGCCGGTTTTTGCTGCTGTAAATTATGCTTTTTCTATGCAAATAATGGTCAACAATCTTAGTTTCTGTTGGCTGTCATTGACTGCAGGCTGACTTAGCTTACATCATAAAAAAGGGCGCCAGAAGGAGATAGCAGATGCCACCTTGCATTGCAATAATTCCTAACTAACAAATGTAATCAGTACCAAATGAACTAAAGGTATTATACAAACCAATACATATTTAGAGAAGTTAGGAAAAATATGACTAGTAATGGAGTGAGAAACTGAGAAGTGCTTCTTTTTTACTGCAGAAGAGTGTATTGGTTAAAAAACCTATTCACACTGCAGAAATGAAAGAGATAAAAAATAAAGATTACTTTACCAACATATTCATCAGGTTGACGTATTCTTAATAGAGCAGGGTATTCTTTCTCCAGCAGAGTAGTTGATGTTGGCAGTACTATAGTAAGGCTGGCAACTTAGGTTAGTTCATTTTGCCTGTATTCCTTTTGGGGATACACATGCAGTATCTTGCCTAATTTGCTTTGCATTGATATGGCACAAAGATACAAAACATAAAAATTAATCCAGCAACAACCAGACACAGCATATATTAATGGGCTCAGCCTGGAGGGAAACTAGACCAGAGATGATGGTGTATGGAAAATTGATATGGACAACCTGACTAAATAAGAATATCAAGCTATTTATATAGCATTGATCCATTGGCTTGAGAGGACGAACGTTCCTGGGAGACCACAGTTTGTTCTAATAAGTTTTATTCCAGCTGCTGGGTTAATAAGAAGCAGAAAGTTATTAAGAGGAAATATATGCATGTGGAAATATTAGCTTCTGCCTCTGGTAATTTAAAGCTTATTCACATCCTCTTTATTATTGTTTATAGAAAAAGGATAATCCACCTCATGAATCAACCCCAGTGTTTTGAGGACTGTTATCTTTCCCATTATTTAAAAGAAAAACTAAGGTATGAGGTGTATGAGACAACTTTTAACACTTTCCTAAATGGATCCAAGCTCTTGTGACTTACAGACCACGGTAGGAAGCACAGTTTGCACTGGATTGTGATGCTTCAGTTTAAAAGTCTCATTTTATAGATCTCTTCTGTCACTGATTTTTGATTTCTGAAGTAGAATCTTCTCTGTTGCAAACTGAAATTAGGTTGTTAGGAATATAGTTCCAGCCTTTTGAACTATATGAACAGCACTGCAAAGGCTTAAAATCAAAATCTTATTACATTCTATTGGAGAAATCAACTACTTGATCACAGAAAGGTAGTGGCAACTTTCAAATTATAAATGATTCACAGGATTTGGAATATTTTGATTGTTTTAATTATTATAAGGGAAATTGGAAAATGCATATTTGGGCACCTCATGACCATTATGTAATTTTCATAGAAAACATGAATAATTTGAAGTCAATCCTGAAGATGAAAGAAATAGTATCAGAGTGAGAATAAAATGAAGATTTTCTGAAAACTAGAATGACTTGAGCAATTGATATAATGATCCAAGAACTATCAAGTGTGCTCTGGAGAGACCCAAATTTGACATTTCTTTAAAAAGATACCCTGCATATGAGAACACGTATGAAAGGGAAAAGCAAAAAGATTTTCTTTTTACTGATACAAGGTACATAAAAAACCAAAACACATAAATCTTTGTCTACTCAGAATACTGACCTGACATTTTTCTGTTCGGATTTGAAGGGTCCATCCTCTCTGTGGGATCACTTGAAATCATGGACTTATGTCACAACTGAATAAACATCTCAGCTTTGGATGACATCCTTTCACTGAAAAAACTGTAGTGGATATTCTTGGATAGAAAATATTCCAAATATCCCCAAACTGATATTTTCCTAAGTCATTCTGTCCTGCAGTAAAGCTGACCACTACCTATAAGCTGACTACTACCTATCAAACTTACATGCTCCTCAACGGTAACAACAGGTACTAGCCGCTTTTGCCCTAGAAGCTTTCTCTAATACAACTACTTTACCTTGATGAACTTGCTGTCCAGAAGAGATTTTCCATCCACACAAGTGATGTAGTAGTCTTAAAGGTGACCCTCTGACAGAAAGAAGAATTCCCCGAGCGTGAAAAAGAAGTAAAATTGACTTGACAGCTTTACAATGCAAATATAAGTCACCCTAAGCTCAAAGAACACTAATAAATTCCACAGTACACTTGTTAAAAAAAACCCAAAAACCTAGGGTTTTTTTTTCAGTTTCAACTCATAGGCTGCTTTTTTGAATTTGTCTTCTTGCTAGAAATCACCAACACTTCACTTCATCTTGACAGACTTGGTTGAGAACTTGGCCTGAAATTTCTTCTGGTTTCAGTCATCTGTTGTCTATTGTCGAAAAATGAATTGTTTAACTTCCTTCCAAGCAAAAGGCAGAAACTCATGAATGTCATGTCTCTTTTATCATTTATAATAAAGATATCGTATTTTCAGTGATAGGCACCTGTTGCACTTACAACTAGGTTTGCTGATCGATAGCATGCATGGCAGGAACAAAACAAATTTCTGAACACCTGAATGCTAACTAGCATTTATTTATAGCATGTATTTCATTTTCTCCTCAACAATTTGGTACCAAGTGTTGGTCTCTGAATGACTAATAAGAACCCAGGTGGGTGTCAGTTGGGATACTATTCTGATTAAAGCTGATTTTAAGAGTGCTAGAATTGAGTTTAGCAAAATACTAGGATTGGAGTTATAAAGCCTTTGGATTTTCTTATCCTGATGGGCATACCAGGATATGTCCATGTCTGTGATACTTTTATCATCCCATTCTTACATTATTTCAATACTGCATGCTTTACTCTTTTCATAATAACCTAAAAGGGAAAAGAAATTTCATTATGTTCATAGTTCAGGTGTATGGAGAATTGAAGCATAGGAAGATTAAAAGTGGGATAAGCCTCACCTCACTTTAAGAATCTATCAAAATCACTTGTAGGAGAGAGAGATTATCTCTAAAGGTGATTTGTCCTATCCTAAAAAAGACGGAAGAAGTTGCCTGCTTGCATTATCCTCCAGTGGTTAGATATATCTAGATTAATCTAGGTAACTTGGTTGGTCTGTCTCCCTGGTTTTCAGACTACTATATGTAGGCAAGAAAAATTCCACTAGGTGATTTGTTCAAGGTCACAGAGAAAGTCTACAGAACATCAAGGAACTTAAAGTAGGCATCACATTTCTCAGATTAGCACTTTAATTGCCAGAGCAGACTTTAAACTTCTGTTTACTATTTAGTGTGAGATAATTTACCATCACTGCTCAAATCTTTGACAGAGAGAAAAAGATAGGTATAAAATCTCACTTCTCTTTCATTATATGCTGCATTGCAACCTGTGATTACTTGATGTCACTTGCACAGTTTTAAAAGAGAGAATTTAGGAACTCAGGAAATATAATACAGAAGAAGTTTAAAAAAGACTCTGTATTAACAAAAATGCCTTAGAATTCCTAGGTGGATTTTCTCTCAGAGCTAGAATGGAGTTGCACAACATCTATTAAAACATTCAATGTGAATGTTGGTGGGCTGACTCAGAAAACCAAGGCTCAAATATTAGAGCACAGAAGGCATTTTCTTGAGAGTAACGTCCTTAAGAAGAAATCTACACAGATCTACCTCCCTCTCAAAGCCTTGTTCCCTTATGTCTTCTCCATTTCTGTGATCTTAAGTACCAAACTTTATTCTGTTTGCAGTCTTCAGTTTAGCATTTTCTGTCTACCTGGGAAGCAGGTAAGGGCAATTACTCTGCCAGCCACTGTCTTGACAGGACCTTTAAAACTACACATTCAACATATTCAAGAGAAATGTATCTCAGGTTTCTTTCTGTATTATATTATTTGTTTTCTTTTTCACAGTTTTTAACTGCTGTGTAGTTTCAGTTGATGAATGCAGAAATACAATATCAGGTTACCAGAGACAGTTAAAGCTCAAAATTCTCAAGACAATATCCACAATATCCTTCAGATATTGCTCTTCTTTCCTTTGCTTTTGAGCAGAGGAATAGCTTTTGAGCAGTATGAATGCAATTATAGCCTACGTTTATATTTCTGTCTAAAATACAGATGTTTATGTTTCTTATAAATGTTTCAATGAGTTATATTGTAATTCGGCTAAAATAACTTGCAAAAATCTCACGTTTGTGTTAAAGACAAAATGATAAAATGGGAAGGTTTCTTGTAATCTAAAATTAAACACTCTGATGAAGACAAAAGAACTTAACTCCAGTTATCGTCCTTGGAAAAAAAGGAGATTTCAGGAAAATGTTCACTGGAAATAATTTGCTTATTTTCATTAGGATCATTCACTCCAAATGTTTTTTTTTCTCCAACCTTTTTAAAAGAGGTCTGGACAGGTACTCTGAGTAGGTAGTTTCATTACTGATGCCTACATTAAGAGAAAATCCAAACAAAACCAGAATAAAAACCTCCCCTTTAATAGTTTGCTTCAACTCAATCAAAATCATCAATAATTTTGTCCATAACTACATTCGATCCACTTCTCAGAGACAATGGAATGCCTTTAAATGAAAGAAAGAAGGATAAGATGGTAAAAGAGGTCTATATTCTCAGAAATCTGAAAAAAATAAGACCTCAGTTGAGATATAATCAGAAGTTCTTCGATTCACTAGAAATCGATAATTTTATTGTGGAAAATCATCTAATGGAAATCAATAACAAAAGAAAATCTAATAAATTCAAGGATATGTAGCATGTTTATACATTTTCTAATATTTCTTAATATTTTCTTTCCACAACTTCTGAAAAGATATATATCCCAGTTACTACTTTTAGGTAAAACTAAGCTGCGAGGAATGTTGTTAGCAGCAAGTAGAGCTAGCAATCCCTCTGAAAATTAGGTACCTTAATTGTCCAAGTTCACTGCTTTGAATATTGAACTACATGCTGTACTACTTAAAGTTTTGATCCATTCAAATCAAATTCTTAAATGGCAGGGTCAATGCCACAGTGAGTTGTTAGGGTAAAAAAAGGAGAAACCACTAAATGATTATAGAACTCTAGTATATTATGCAGTTTTATTATGGCAAGATGCCCAGGCCTCATAAAAGATAAATAAGGTTCGAAGCAGGGGAAGAGGAGAAGAGTGTTGTTAAATTTAATAGAAGTTCTTTTATCTTTTATCTTTTTTTTCTTTTTTCTTTTTTTCTTTCTTTTTTTAAAATGGCAAGGGAATGCAAAAGACATCAAAGCAGTTTTCAGTTTTCTTATAAATCTATAAGAAAATGAATTTCAGCAGCAACTTTTCTGCTTTTATTACTAAAGTTCTTTTGGAAGCTGAGAGGGAGTATAATTCAGTGCTTGTCAAATTGCTTTGGAGAAATATAATAAATCCAATATATATATGGGAAAAGTTTATCAGGTTTTTTTGTATATATAAAACATGTACAGTTACTGGATCCTTTTTCTGATTTATTAAAATGGTTTTAAAGAAATAGCCTATCAGATCTGTCTGTAAGAATTTCACTTTGAGAAGTACTCATTAATTTCTGGACTAGAAACCCAACAACATGATATAGCAAGTTAGCTAAATAACACTGCTACTGCTTTACCTGAAACTACAGGCAGACGTATGAATCTGTGAGCAAAGAACAGTGGAAAAACGCACGAATCTAGAATGTTGTCCTTGATCCGACAGCCACGACAACCACAGGATAAACACATTATTGCCCAGTGAAACATAAGCTAATGACTTTTTTTTTTGCCTGCAGGGAGAAAAATCTGTCTGTCAAAGTTCACCATGATGTATCTGTACACAATACACTTCATATTTCCACATGTTCCCTTTTAAGTCTTTTTTTGCAAACCCTTACATAAATCCTTTTTTTGTTTGCATTGTGGTCTGAGTTTTGAAGGTTTTGCACATATTCCACCAGTGTGTGCAAACACAACAAGGTAATTCATATCTACACTGGATAATAAAACATACATTTTCCTTTGAACTATTTGGTCGATATTTGGGTTCAAGAAAAAATATAGTTATGATAACATGGTCCTTCTAAGGACAGATTATCTTCTGCAAAACTAATTAGTCTAGGTCTAGCTTTGTGCTATGGTATCACTGTACTTTTTTTGCCATGGCTTAATAGTTTTCTTTAGCATTACATGTTACTTTGAGATGAAGGACAAGAATTGCTACACAGTGTAAATACAACTTATGTGGTAGGTGTTTTGTTTGAGTGTTGTTCAGTGCCATTGCTTCATACATTTCTTTCTAGAAAAATTCAATAGTATTTTCCATTTGTACATGTTATTGGCCTACCCGGTTATAGAATCATCAAATCGTAGAATGTTAAGGGTTGGAAGGGACCTCAAAGATCATCTAGTCACAACTTTCTCAACCTGTCTTTGTAAGGGAGGTGTTCCAGTCCTCTTATTAACTTTGTGACCCTTCCCTGGATTTGATCCAACAGTTCTATGTCCCTCTTATTTGGAGGTACCAGAACTGTATGCAGCACTCCAGATGGGATCTCTCAGAGCAGAGTAAAGGAGAAAATTCACCTCCCTTGATCTGCTGGACATGCTCCTTTTGATGAAGCCCAGGATTTTTTTGGCTTTCTGGACTGTGAGTACACACAGCAACAACCAGGCTCAATCTTTTACTTCACTCGAACCCTGTTTGCTGTCGCGGACCCTTTCCAACCCGACTGTGGCAAAGGAGAACCCGGAAAACTCCAGGCCTGTCAGCCTGACCTCAGTGCCTGGCAAAGTTATGGAGCAGATCATCCTCAGTTCAATCACACAGCACCTACGGGATGGACAGGGGATCAGACCCAGCCAGCACGGGTTTAGGAGGGGCAGGTCCTGTCTGACCAACCTGATCTCCTTTTATGATCAGGTGACCTGCCTGGTGGATGAGGGGAAGGCTGTGGATGTGTCTATCTGGACTTGAGCAAAGCCTTTAACACCGTCTTTCACAGCATTCTCCTGAAAAAGCTGGCAGCCCACGGCTTGGACAGGGGCACTCTGTGCTGGGTTAGGAACTCTAGCTGAAGGGCCAGGCCCAGAGAGTGCTGATGAATTGTGCT